GGAAGTATATATATATATATATATATATATATATATATATATATATATATATATATATATATATATATATATATATATATATATATATATATATATATATATATATATATATATATATATATATATATATATATACCAAATATGTATTTAGAATCATATATGAGTAGAGTGCTCGATACACCGAAGTCTAGAGCTAATAAAGATAATGATAAAATAAACCTGGTTTACTTCATAAGATTTATTCACTACAAACTTGTTTCGTATGACAAGCAATGCTTGCCACACTCATCAGGTGAATTTAAATGTCGCGCTATGTTGTTGCCAAGGTTATATATAATAAATACATGTTTGACGTAAACGGAATGTTCAAGTATTAAATTACGTATAGATTACATATACAGATTATATTAAGTAATGTATATTGCTGAAGAGAAATTTGTTTCTATGTCTGCATTTCGAAAAAAGTTCACTTCTTGAGTTTAAAGAACAAAGTTCAGGATAGTAGATTATAATGAATTTTTCATGTGTACAAAGACTGCAGCGTTTCGTTGTGTTGTCGTACCTCTTGCATTGTTTAATAATACGCCTAATAAAAATATGGAGTACTTGACCTTTGACTCTTTAAGTTGCCAGATGTATTTGCTCAGCTCTGTCGCATTTCTTACTTCCACCCGTATGAAACAGACTGTTGTGTTTTTTTGAGATAAAACGAAAAACTATATATAAATATATATACGGTATATATATATATATATATATATATATATATATATATATATATATATAATCTAATTTTAAAATCCCATACAGTATATAGACAATCGATAGTATTAAAAAAACATGCATGGTTACTCACGGAAAAGCGTTACGATGTTACTTCGGGCAATAATAAGCTTATTCGTGTTCCGAAACCATCATTTGCAAAACTTGCCACATTCATTTACGGATTTTTTTATAGCGAATAGCCAAATTTACCAATAGCAATACTGTACCCGAAACTCGATCGTCAAAACTTTATATGCATTACAATCGAACTAATTATACCATGGATAATAAAATAAATGGATTGGAAACTTCTGACGTCATTGACTGCATCCTTGTTGAAAAACGTGACGTCACGCGTATTGCGAATGTTACCAAAGTTCTCGGTATATTTGTTGTTTTGCTATATTTTCCACTTTAAAAGGGTGATCTTGAAGCGTAAACTGGTCTAATTGTTTTAAAAACATGGCTAAGCCACGACAAAGTATTCAAGGTAAATGTTTTTCGTCTTTGTTTTGTATTTTTTACATTTGTGGCTACGAAATTCGCGTCACAAATTTTAACGAAATTTACGATGTATTTTTCACTGTTTAGTGCTTGAAATATTTGCTAAAATTGACTGGGAATACTTAGAGTTTTCATCGTAGAATGGCGTGGTTACATTTTTTTGCTCTTTGACTAAAATGTTTAGCTGTGTTATTGCTAAACATGCCGTTTTTGAGAATTTG